ATAAATACCCTTGACTCACTGGGTGACACTCAGTGACGTCCGCTGTTGTCCCATTGCGCGGTACTGGCATGCGGTGGAGTTAAGGTTAGCTCGTTTCACAACTTTGGTGGTTTCCCGCTGGCTGCTATCCTCCGATGAGGTCTAGACTAGCACTTGTGGAGGAGGCTCTTGGCGGCGTACTGATCAGATCCAAAAACCTATAATCTACGTTCAGACCTCTTGAAAAAGACGAGCCCGTCGAAACGTCGGTCGAATAAACATCCACCAAGAAACCTGGTTTCGGCAAAACAATCAATTACTGATACATTTAAACTTTTTGAGCCAGTTGCTCCAGCAAAGGTTAGAAAATAATTACAACTCTATTAGAAACAGTTACAGTCTCTTGTTATTTGAGTCAATCAAGCTCTAGCACGTCCTCTCAAACGAAACTTACACCAGGTATACCTGAAGTAGCAATCTTTCAAATCAAAGAGTTTTGCATTGATCCAATAGTCCTTCCGTCGATGTGATCACAAAACAAACTTAGCGTGCTAGAAACATGTTTTGGTCGAGGTAATTTGCATACTCAAGTAGACCGCAAGAAGTTCTACTTGAGATTACGAACAACGGTGAGTTTATTATTACTTTTATGAAAGAATGAATGGTACTAATCCAAATACCCAAAATCACGAACTTTGCTAAAAATAAAATTATGGGGTTGCTTCATCTGGTGTTTATAAACACGATATTTATTTCGCAAAGTATGCCCTCTTTGAGGGGTTACGGGAGGCATACGACACAAGGCCAACGTTTCATATTTCGCTCAAACTTTGCACAGAGGATTATTCTACATGCTGATTCTGATTAATATGACAATTATTTCGCTTGAAAACCTTCCCGACTATGGTTACGTTAAGTGTAATGCACGGTAGGGGCAGAATCCTAGGTTTTGGGGTTTTGGCTGGAACCTGATCTAGAGATCTATTCGACATGCTGAATATAAATATCTCAGTATCCTCTGCCTTTGGGGATTTTTCGTAAGTTATGGTAGGTATACGGTAAGAAATCAAAAATCTTAGATCTGCCTGGCACTTTGTGTAAGAGTTTCTCAATGTGCTGGTTACGTTCATATCGCACGCTAATTTCGTGAATTTTTGGGATTTGAACTGACCTGAAAAGTAGAATTAGTTCTGTTCAAACGCTGCCGATTACGATGACTCCACAATAAGGCGTTGCTGCAGCAAGTTAGCATGATAGTCGCAATCAACACTTGAAAACTTCGAGTGAAGTCTTGAGTAAATTTGAACTTCGACCTACCTAATACACCTGTGGTAACCCAAAAGAGTATCTCTCCTTGCAAACATACACCGTGCTATCGGTGAATTTTTAGGAAAGTCTGTGAGTTCGACCCCCTACCATGCACCTAACAATGGAGACGTTTTGATGCGGAAAAAGTGTGATATTCGTTTTCGTTATCAGCATGTCGACTAATTCCTCTGTGCAAAGTTTCAGCGAAGACTGTGATTTTCACGCCATATCGTATGCCTACCGTAACCTTCCAAAGGAAGTCCTACCATGCTTCATGATTGGCAATCTACTCCCCCCTCCCTCCTAATGATTTTCAATCTGCAATCTTTGATTTTTGGGTAGTATTAAGTGAAATATCGTAGAGTGATAGAATAAATGGTATTTATTCTATTCTGCCATATCTTCTGTGGCAAAGCGTTGGAACAAGCAGACTATAGCGGAATTGGTGGAGTTGTCGGGACACAGCTAACTACAACAGCTGCTCGAGAATGAGGTTGGCCGAAGACAGCCAACCTTTAGCAATGACCTCCGGCTGACTGCATTAGCCGGTGGCCAACCTCCTTCTCGAGCAGCTGTGTAGTTAGCTGCTTCTCGACAGATCTCGTGGGTCGTCTCGTCAAATATCAAATCACCTTACAGGCGTAAGATGTCAAGACTGAGTATCGTGCTGGAAAGTACAATACTCTATGCGATTTCCTTAGTCGCTATCCTATTGCAGAGATAGAATCTGTACAGGTGCATACACTACCATCTTTGGATCATATTCAACAATTCAGGAACGATTCCATTTATGGAAGTCCCATCAAGAGGAGAGTTGGATTTTCCACCACCATAATTTTCCGACACTTTGGGCAGGACTCTTTCTATAATGACTGTCTTTTTTTACTAACTTTTCAAAATACGTCTCGACCGATTATTCCTGATATGGCCTGTCAAGATAAAATCATTGAGGTTTTTCCACACAAACCCAAATTTGGGATCGCATTTAGACCTACGAAAACCGTAAAAGCTACAGTGCTGGACAAAATTATAGGTCCACTCTAAAAAGTGCCATAACTCACCCTGTTGCCAATAAAATGTTCCAAAATTTGGTACAGCCATGTGTTTACCAGCCTACTATCAGTCGTCAAAATAGGTCTCGTTTTCGTCTGGTTATTCAAGAAAAAATTGGAAATTTTGAAAAAAGCAAGCTTGAAGGCTGGACAAAATTATGGGTCCACCTGAAGTTTTCACTGATTAAAGCACTTCTTAGCTCCCGAATTTTTTTTAGGTAGGTTTACATCTAAAAACGTTAAACAGTTGCTTTAGTCAAGCTGTGTCATACCTCCAGAAAGGACTGAATATCTGCTTTTTTGCCTTGAAAATGCTTTCACATGTATTTCGCTCCACAGACCTGCGTTGGGTAAGAAATTCTGCGTTTCTCAGCTGGATCGGAAGGGACGGGATTTTATCTTTTTGACGTGAGCATTGAAAAAAAAATCCGACTTTTTGCTGCTGAAGCAAATCCGACATCGACTCAATCGGGAGAAATAAGCCTGTTTCTGCCCTAAAAGCCCTTATGCATTGTCATTATAACCTCAAGATGTTGTAGAAGCATTCTTTACACAAGAATGAAGCTGTTTGCCATACTCGCAAGTGTCCACAAAGCTGCTTTGCTTCTTTTTCGAAGCATGAGTTGTGTGTGCAACGTAATGATGGCGTTACGCAATTCCAAATAACTTGCCACTCGCTACTCACTTAGATTTTTGACAGTAATTATTTACTATATAGTGGATACAGCTTGTAGTGCATGTTAGCACATGATTCTTCTGAAAATTTTGGTCGGAGCCACAAAAAGCTTTGTTGCTTGTCGTAATCAGTCTGCAGGTGATTTCAGTAATCATACTCAAATGCTAGGATCTCTAGAAAGTTGTAACTGTGGGATACGGACTCCCCTTCGTAGAAGCAATGCCTTTACTTTAATTCATGCTTCTGAGAACATCGGAAAAAATAGTTTGAAGGCAAAAATTTGAGCTCAGAATTGCAGTATTGTCAATGTCGGATTTGCTTCAGCAGCAAAAAGTCGGATTTTTTCTTCAATGCTCACGTCAAAAAGCATCCCGAAGGTAGATAAAACCCCATCCCTTCCGATCCAACTGAGAAACGCAGAATTTCTTACTCAACGCAGGTTTGTGGAGCGAAATACATGTGAACGCATTTTCAAGGCAAAAAAGCAGATAATCAATCCTTTTTGGAGGTATGACACAGCTTGACTAAAGCAGCTGTTTAACGTTTTTAGATATGTACCTACCTAAAAAAATTCGGGAGCTAAGAAGTGCTTTAATCAGTAAAAACTCCAAGTGGACCTATAATTTTGTGCAGCCTTCAAGCCTGCGTTTTTCAAAATTTCCAATTTTTACTTGAATACCAAACGAAATTGAGACCCATTTTGATGACTGATAGTAGGCTGGTAAACACATGGCTGTACCAAATTTTGGAACATTTTATTGGCAACAGGGTGAGTTATGGCACTTTTTAGAGTGGACCTATAATTTTGTCCAGCACCGTATATCTGCTGAATACTTTTGGAAACGTTTGGAAACTCACGCAACTCGAAATTGCCCAACGTGCCAGAACATTAAAAATCTTTTTGGTTCTAATTTCCCAACGCCTTTTGAACTATTGCCCACGGATATTGTTGATCCATTACCACAGTGTATAAACATTAATCGATTCATCACCGCGCCCGTGCGTTCAGCAAACTCATAATCTGCACCGCACTCCCAACCAGACAACAGATCTTGTTGAAGCTAGGATAAACGATGTCATGGCTAAACACGGCGTTCCTAACGAACTAGTGTCCGACTATGATTCGCACTAGTGAAATATTTCGAAAATATACAGAGTGCTTGGCACTTCCAACAAGTTCACTATTAATTGCAACCACAGAACGAATGGGCGAGCCGAAAGGATGGTTAAAATGATTACAGACTCTCTAACGGCTTACTGTTCCAGAAGCTAAAGAGCTACGGTCTGATTTTTGCAGCCGATCTTCTTCGCCTACACTAATATCAATGATACCACAGGAAATAGCCCGTATTTTGTTGCGTATGGCCGTCACTCGATCACCTAGTGCGACATAGTCCATCAAACCTTCATTCAAAGCAATTACGAAGAGCAAGTTCAAATAGTTGAGCCAAGTGAAAATACGTTTCAGTTGTTTATCACAAGTGAACAACGATTAATAAGATCAGAGTTGTTCTAATAACGTAAACCCATGCATTAGTTCTAATCTCCTATTACAGGATAATTACGTTACGATATTAGGAAGAAAAGTGATGCACAACAAACTTTATGGAGATAAAAGGAAACTCGTAACCGAAACTCATTTAAGCAGATACTAGATACACGGATGCATGAGTGAGACAGCTTCAGTAACGCTAACAAGGCTACGATCACAAAGCGCAGATAGAGGAGAGGACGTGGGTGTTTGACGAGTTTATACGTATTGGAGATAGACAGAGAAGACATAGATTAGCTTTGGTGACAGAAATCGAGAACACACGAATGGATCTTAGCGCGGTTGAAATGGAGGTTGACAATATCAATCTAATGTAATGGGTTTTGAATTTGAGATTGAATACATGTATTCCTTTGAGAGACCTTAGGCACGACATAGTGGGAAATGAATACATCATGTCGGTGTCATTATTCGTAGAAGTACCCGCGCTCGGTTAAGCCCCATTCCCGTTGAATCCAGCGCGTACGCGCCTTCGTCCGGCACTTCCTCTTTCTCCATTACAGCCACTGCCTCCACCGCGCTGTCGCCCTTGACGACGTTCCTGATTCTGTTTGATCATCCCTATGTTTTGCTTCTTCTGTTCCAAACCATTCCTTATCACTAGTGCGCCATCACCTCTCCAAGGTTTTCCTACGCTTCTTAAACTTCCATTGGCAGAGCCACCATTTTGACTACAGTTGCAATAGCCACCTCTACCACGTCCGCGGCGTCCTACGGGCCTGTCACCATAGCCATTGCGTTGATAAGTGCTATTGCCGTAGGCCTGCCTCATCATATCTTCGATATTGCTGCGTAATCCTTCGGTTTCCTTGAGATGATTGATTTGGAAGTCTACCAAGAATGAGGCCATCGATGTTGACTCTCTGGTTCCAGTGAAAGTAAAGGGTACCGAATCCATAGTGCCATCGTGCTTTCCTGCAATCCGAACTCGCACTACACCGGATTTATCTACTATTTCCTGGATGTATTTTCCATTCTTTCCAATCAATTTTCCTACGAGAAATCTCGGCACGTGCACACATTCGACACCAAAGTCAAGCTGTGCTCGCGCTTTTTGAGCAGCAGCTGCTGTCTTCGCAAAAATTTTTTATGATGCATGGCTGCCCGTCGCCGCCACCTTCAAATACTTGAATGTCGTCCACATCTTCGACTTTTCTGGCTCTCTTTATGTTTGATCCGTGGATACCAATGACAAGTCCCATCAGATCAGCAGCAACTTCAAACTCATCCACAAATGGAGAACCTCGATCGTTACGTTTACCGCCATGCTGCAACATGCGTTCGGCCTCTTCAGCCCGAGCGCTTACCTGGTTTCTCAAGCGTACGTCCCTGAAATACATTTCGCTAAGAACGACTGCCTTTTTGAGCGAAATCGTCCCAAATGAGCACAGCTTTATCTCGCGCTTTTCTTTGTCAAAGATCATGGCGATATCTTTAACGGTATTTTGAAATTCTAACAGATTCTCTGCAACAGAAGAATGATCGACGAGATCCTCTGGAACGCTGATTGTGTCAACTCTCAGGTCAGTGGGAGTTATCCATCAGTTATCGTCGAGGATCTCCTATGCAACCGATAGTTTCACCGATCAACTGACTACTGCACTACAAAAACAATCAGAAAACAATCATGGAAGATGATAACTAGATTGATTGCAAGACAGCTACCATAAATCAGGTTACAATTTCCACCACGGAGGTTTCCAAGAATATCTTCACTGGAGATCTAACTTTACTAAGAGACGATACAATTCAAAATTTACACACCAGTGGTAAGACTCTTCCACTGTCGTGCAAGTCAGTCGTCTCACTGACACTGTCTCTAATTTGATTGGACCCACTAACATTCAACGTGTCCGTATGAATAGATTTAAGATCTATTTTCTTGCTCTACAATGGCCGAAATTTTCCCCCAGAAACTCATTCTCACACCTGTCACATCGGAAACTTTGAAAAATGTTGAACCACAACCTGCACGGTGCTCCAATCGTGTATAGTTGAAACGCCCTTTCAGAGCATAAGAGTCACACTCCAATCATGGAGAAAATAAATAACTATTTGCAAATTACCATTACACACGTTTTTGCTACTGGATAGTTATTCATTTTCTAAGGTCAGTTTGTTTTTTTTTTCCTTTCCGCACCGTCGCGTTTCAATAGAACTGCAATTTTCTTTGAACAGGCAATCCAAAGAAATCGTTTGCATTAGGCAATTCAAAATCAAACTCTTTACCTAACAAACAAATTTTGCTCCTATGTTGAACGAAAAAAAGTGTGCAGTGCCCAGTTCAACATATGAACTCATTTTGCCTCTGTCATAACATGCAATTCTCCACAGAAGATATTAGTACAAAAAAATCTTAACTTTGCAATATAGCGTTAAACCATGTTGGATTGTTCAATAATTACTGTGAGTAAACCGTAATTTATCTCTCACTATCATCCTGATATAAATTCCTGCTGTTAATCATTTACACGTACTATCTCGTATGCTATCAGTTTTGATTATAATTCCCTACATACTGTAACCCCTATATTCCAAATGTTAGATCATTTGCCTCCTTAATCAACTCAAATCTTCTTAATACGCCCACAACCAGCCGGTCCAATCTTCATTTCCTACAATTCCACTCCAATCCCTTCCCATCACGTCGGAAACCCCATTCAAGTCAACTGCATCTCTCCGCAGTTTCCTACACCGTTCCTTAGCTACTTCAAGCTCAAGGACAATCTTACTCAAAGCCATGGGATATACTAGGTGAAGATCGTGGCTGCTCGCAGTCCACTGGATCCGTATCCTTAAATTTATCATGCATCTTCAATGTATTCATTACTTCACTTTGTGTGTTCTCGTCGTATATTACGCCGTATATTACGTGCACATTCCAACGCACGTTACTCGGAAGAACACCAACTACGCTAATGCCAACTACAAAATTCGAAACCTCAACCATAGCACAAGCTCGAGGACGAGTTTCCTGAAGGAATGGAGATGTCGGGACGCAGCTAACTACAGCTGCTCGGGAAGGAGGTCGGCCGAAGACAGCCAACCTCTGGCAGTGACCTCCGCCTGACGGCACTAGCCAGTGGCCTACCCTTTTTCTTTTCCCTTTTTGTAGTCCTTTATAATAACTATTATGGTAAGACTTATGTAAGCCCGCTACACATCAGGTCTAAGGGAATAGCTAACCCTTAAACCTGCCAGAGTCCGCTCCGAGTCACAGTTTTTCTTGGTAGCTTCACTTAATTGCTTGTGGGGGGGCTGTTTGAAATTCGAAATCAGCAATAGTGACGATTTTTGTTCACGAAAATAACGCCATGCGACCTTGCCTATCTATCGACCCCGATCAGAAGGTTTTTGATTTGTGCTCACATTTGCGATAACTGGACATCCAATTGCTCTTCCGTTCGAGAACGCTGCATTTATTCTCTAAGTGCCCTTGCTTTTGGATCACCTTAATAGAACTTTTCATCCCTGGCAACAAAACAAAATAGTGTTGCTGTTGGGCATGTTGAAGTACCTCGTCACGAAATATCTCGGCCAATCTTGAGGCCCGGCCCCATAGTTAGTAAATATGACGCATTTAACTCGCTCAAATTCTCAAATTCTAGTCTTCATTTGTTTTCAAATTTCATTCCATTCAATGTGTTTAGTGAATCAGATTCTAGCATTTTGCCTGTTCCGTTAAAATGTTTTGTTTTAGGTTGTGCGCAGCTTCACATTTTTGCCAAAATCGAAATTTGGAATTCGCGGTTTTTGGAAAATTCGTAGACTTCTCTATTTTGTTATAATCGATTGTGCCGACCTGTATAAGGCAATCATACAATCGGACACTGGCTGACACGTGCGTTGCGTATGCATTATATTCGCAACAAACGAAATTTTCTCGAATGACAAATATCTAATTGATCCTTAAACTTTTTTTCGATTGAATGGATATATAAAACGTGATTTTGAGATTTTTGCGAATGAATGAATATTATCGTTTGGTTACTGATTTTCATATTATTCGAATAGTCAAGCTTAACGACCTAGGTAATTCTAAATGTATGTTCAAGAGCAGCTTTCTGTTCTTTCATCAAACCTGCATCAAATACTGTACATGTGGTGCTTGCCTCAGAATCAGATTAATGCAAAGCATGTACTTTAGCGCTTCATAATATTTTATAATTAGCTAAAACCTTACGTCTCCTTCCGTAAAGATATAGTTGTTTGTACCTAATTATCTTACAACGATGACAATCAAGTGAAATTGCTTGATTGATGCGAAAGCACTCGCGAAGCTTTGAGAGAGTGAGCTTTGAGAAGCAAGAATGTGAACTGTGGCAGATAAGGATTGCCAAAAAGTGATAGGTTGTCAGCATGGAGTATTTATAAGGCAATCTGATAGCGTCTTCTCATCGAGCCAAAAAGCACTAGAATATTTAGGCACAGCTCCGCCCCAATACAGTTTTAGAATTGTGAGCGAAGGGTGCACAGAGCTGAAACTTGAAGATAATCACTTGTAGCACCTGAAATTTTGCCGATATCGTGTTGCACGAGCGCAAACCAATGATGCATGTAAGCGAACTTTATAGTTTGTTCCTTGAAAAGACGTTACCAGATGTTTATGATGTTTCTCTTTGCCCCAAAAATGCGTTGTTTGATATTCCGCCAGTTGATGAAGTTACGGCTACACCAGCAAAAACAAATAGCTCGCATGACATAGTAAATTTCTCCTCTTTCTCTAAATATTAGTAGGATGTTAAAGCAGATGTGACTTGATGATGTGTGCTTATGCATGTCGCAGCTGTAAGTTGAAGATGTGGTTTTACGCACAAGTAAGTGTAGCTGGTAGTGGACATTCAGAAGCTCTGACACCTGTCAAAGGAATGATCGCTGAAAATGCAGGAACAATTCTGTGCTGTTGATTCAAAGTCCATTCCAGGATTGATCAAGCAATTTTTCCGTTATCTTACACAGTGTTAAACTCATGGGTCTAATTTTTGACAATTCACATTTTGTGAGGCTCTGGTTTTGTACGTATCTTTTAGAGATTAGGGCAATCCTGGTAGTTTCATATGAGCGGTGTTGGATATAGCGCTAAAGAGACACTGAACTTCACTCGGTTTCTCTAAAAATAATCAAACAACATCTACAAAATGCCAATATAAAATAGCAAAAGGTGGTGTGTCTTCTTTCGCCAATGGCAGTTGATACTTTTATATTCCAATAGCTTATACATTACATTAAGCGTGATCGCAGAAAGGCGTAAACTTTCGGCGATGCTGAATTCAAAACTCAATGCTTTAGCCTTGGACAGCAGGATATTTAGCAAAAAAGGAAAAAGCTTGCGCTTTATCAAAAGCCGGAAAAAGAATTTGAGCTCATTTTCATTTTGCAAATAAAATCGAGTCCGCCGCCCTATGAACTAGCGTTGACGTTTTCCTGCAAAACGGCTTGACAGGAATAGGAGAGCCTTACCTTGAATGTAAGAAAATTAGAAAACCCCAGAACCGGTAAGAGCCATGTGGTCAACATTGCCTGTACCAGCAAGAAGAGTGCAAAGCATCGTAGTCCACATCGTCGTCGATAGTTTGAACACTTGGGTTATAATCCCAGACATTTTTGGTATAGCTTTGCAGAATTTCTGTTCATAAGGCTCAATTCAATTATGAGAACCACCATGCAGCGATAAAATTTCGAAATTGCTAATGGATAAGCCCACAAACGATATCTATTTTTTGTTTTGACATGTTTTAGTAGGGATACTTGGGGCAGCTTCAAACCCAAATTCGCATGCTTCAAGGTCAACAGATGTGTCACTGTGTCAAGACTTTACAGAACAATCTAAAGAAGGCAGCTCGTATTTGAGCCCAAAAAGGATTTGTGCAGGTGCTTGCATTCAATTCTAAAACGCAAAGAAATCCGTAACTGCTGTGCGACTCATGGATATGATATCCGAAAACAAGTAATTAATTTCTGCAGGAGTATAATTAGATCAATTGTTCTCCTGTTTGTAAATCAATGACCTTCTAGCTACCAGATTCGCATGTTCTTTCTCTGAATGTGCTGCTTAAGCCCTTCAACTTATATTGCTTCGGTCTTAGCTGTATCTTTTCCGGTTTTCCAAGCATCCTTAGATATTATACACTATTTTGGTGCCAGCTCATTTGGCAAAAAAGATGCTTTCATAATTACATAGCTGCCGTAAGATGCTAAACGAACGTACTAAACATACAGTAAGCCTTTCTTCTGACTATCATGGAAGCAAATATATCGAAAAACGTAACCTATTGTCGCGGCCATTCAATGGGCTACATAACTTTTTTAAATAGAGCAAACAAAACTTTCTCCTATAACTCAAAACTTCCTAGTTTTACCATTGGTGATAAAGTTTTTAAAAACCAGAGTTCTAGGAGTTCCACCCTCCAAAAAGGTCGATAAA